CCTCAGCCTTCCAAGTAGCCAGAACTACAAGCGTGTGCTACTACGCCTGGCTAATTATTTGCTTTATTGTAGAGATGAGATCTTGCCAAGTTGCCTAGGCTGGTCTCGAACCCGGGGGCTCAGGCAGTCCTCTCACCTTGGCCTCCCAAAGTGCTGGGATTATAGACATGAGCCACCATGCCCAGCTTGTTTCATTTTTTTAATTTGACATGTTCCTAAGTAGACATGAGAGTAGTATCCTGTTCATATTCTAACTGCACTGTCAAATATGATAACTATTTACATATAAATTAAGTTAAAATGTGAGTCCCTCAGCTACATTTCAAGTTCTCGGTAACCCCATGTGGCTAGTGGCTACTGTGTTGAGCTGAACAGATAGCGAGCTTAGCAGATCTGTTGAGCAATACTGGTGTAGATGCTTCAGCAACACAGGGACGTGTGTATGAGAGAGAGAGAGACAGACTCTGCCTGTGATGGAGAATTATGACTATGCCTACAATGGAGAATTATGACCAGTCTGTGGGCTTTGGTGCCATTTAGTATCCATGATGTCATTAAGAATATCTGTTTTGTCTGCATTCTTTACTGAAGGCCTTGTGAGTGGTTTAGCATGGACCCTGTTGCTACTCATAGCTGCCATCTCCTCCAGCAACTGCACGAGCAGCGTATCCAAGGCCTGCTTTGTGACTGCATGTTGGTGGTAAAAGGAGTCTGCTTTAAAGCACACAAGAATGTTCTAGCAGCATTCAGCCAGTATTTTAGGTACGTATTTGAGACTTCATTCTTCTTACTGTAGGGAGTAAAGCTCTTCTAGTGTGGCAGTATTTTTACTACATTTTGTTTCTCCCTGGATTTCACTCTTTATCATTGATAGCACTTTTTGCAGATCTTTTTTCCGCCCATCGAACTGAAAAGCTTCTGCAAAGCAAGGGTTTAAAAAAAAATTTATTAGTATTATTATTTTTGCTTTTGTGTTTAGAGTAACCTGAGAGAAAAGAGGCTCTTGGCCGGGCTCGGTGGCTCAGCCTGTAATCCTGCGCCTTGGGAGCCCGAGGTGAGTGAATTGCCTGAGGCCGCGGGTTCAAGACCCGCCTGGGCAACTTGGCAAGATCTCATCTCTACAATAAATCAAAACATTAACCGGGCGTGGTAGTGCACGCCTGTAGTTCCAGCTACTGGGAAGGCTGAGGCGGAAGGATCGCCGGAGCCCAGCAGGTCGAGGCTGTGGTGGCCGGGAACGCCCACTGCACTCCAGTCTGGGCGACGGAGTGAGACTCCAACTCAAAAAAAAAAGAAAAGAAAAGAGGCTCTTAACTAAAATGAATTTGGGGTGATTGAAAGTATTTTGGTACTTTTTTAATTTGTAAATTTAATATTTCAGAAATATACTTTGTGATCTGTTTTGAATATTGAATACCCAGCAGGCTAATTTAATTCATATGAATTGCTTAATTGGATGGCTTGCCAAGTCGTTTTAAAGAGTCAAAACATACAGACATTAAAATTTTATCATTCATAGAAGGGTAGTATTTTTACATATTAATATATGTATATTACTTATAAGAGAAAGCAGAATGTATAAATTAACACTGTAAACAGATATCCTTTCTTTTTTCAGGAGCCTCTTTCAGAATTCTTCAAGCCAGAGGAACGATGTTTTTCACCTGGATGTTAAAAATGTCAGCGGCATAGGGCAGATCCTGGACTTCATGTACACGTCTCATCTTGATCTTAACCAGGACAACATACAAGTAATGCTGGACACAGCCCAGTGTTTGCAAGTTCAAAACGTTTTGAGTCTGTGCCACACGTTTCTAAAATCAGCCACTGTAGAACAGCAACCTGGCATGCCTTGTAATCGTACGTTCTCCCTGCAAAGCTCTCTGGCCCCTGATGCCACTTGTGTGATGAATGAGAGCAGCTACCCTCCCCATTTACTGCATGAGTGTCCAGCAGACGTGCAGCATAATAAAGCTTTGGATGAATCGCATTCTCATGCTTCACCTTCAGTTAATCTTCATTCTGCAAGTGAAATAGCAAAACAAACCCCTGACACTTTAGATGGCAGCTCTGCAGAACTACCTTTCAAACAGCCAAGTTACTACTACAAACTCCGAAACTTTTACAGCAAGCAGCACTATAAACACGCTGCCTGTCCCAGTCAGGAGCGAGTTGTAGAGCAGCCTTTTGCATTCAGCACCTCCGCAGACCTTACCGCGGTAGAGAGCCAGCCTTGTGCTGTCCGTCAGTCTGAATGCATCCTGGAGTCTTCAGAGCACTTGCCTTCCAACTTCCTGGCCCAGTCCCTGAGTGACTCTGTTCCAGATCCCGAATCAGATGCCACATCCCAACAACCCGCCAAACAGATGAGGCTCAAAAAGGCCATTCACCTGAAGAAACTAAATTTCCTAAAGTCACAGAAATCGGCAGAGCACACCTCTGAACCCAGGTCAGATGATGGTTTAACAAAGAGCATGGAATCGGCTGGTGAAAGTACCATGGAGAAAGCTTGCAGCCAGGGTACTGAAGAAAAAGAAAGTGAAGAACTGGGCATTTGTGAGAATTTTAACTGTGTTAGTGAAACGGAGCAACCCATAGACCCTGCTGCACTGGAAGACCAGTCCCAAACACTTCCGACACAGAGACAATACGCGTGCGAATTGTGTGGGAAACCTTTTAAGCACCCAAGCAATTTGGAGCTTCACAAACGGTCTCATACAGGTACACTGATTCAGTACCCGCAGACAGAAGGGAAGGAACTGTTGCAGATGGTCAGACACCAGGGCCTGATCTTGTTTTTGTAAGAAGCTTTGCTGTTGCTTGATGAAACCATTGATAGTTTTAAACAAAAACCAAGGGGTGTTAGCTACTTTTTATTATTTCATATTTTTGGTTATACATCTGGATTAAAGCTCTGCAAATGATTTCATAGAGCCAATTTAAAAAGATGGCATACTTTTAATTTTATTTCAATTATGTTCTTATATGTAGACTATTTCGAAAGACATATAATAAGTTACTTCGATGCAAAGTTTCAAATTAATTTTAAAACAGATAAGCTATATTTAGTTTTCATTTTAGAATTAGATTAAGCTTAGTTTATGAAAGCAGAATGTAGGTTAATGTAGACTAAAATAACTTAGTTTGAATAATTCTACAAGTTCTCTCAGGTAATTTGAATATCTGATTTTTAAAATCGTAATTCGGGAGGCAGGAGGTAAACTTTTTAATAAGAATCAGCTTTAACCATTTGATATATTCAAATGACAATGCTTCCATTTTAAACATTGAATTTGGCCAGGCACAGTGGCTCACACCTGTAACCCCAACACTTTGGGAGGCCAAGGTAGGAGGAGCACTTGAGTCCAGGTGTTCAAGACCAGGATAGGCAACATAGTGAGACCTCATCTTGCCAGAAAAAACAGACGGGTATGGTGGTGCATGCCTGTAGTCTCAGCCACATGAGAGGCTAAGATGGAAGGATTGCCTGAGTTGAGGTTGTGGAGGCTGCAGTGAGCCGTGATCTGTGCCACTGCACTCCCCCTGAGGTGACAGCAAGACCCTGACTCACAAAAAAGGTGAAGTTTCAAAATTTTATTGTCTTAGTCTTGCCTCCTTCCTTTTCTCAAAAGTTTTTTCTCAGTATTACACAGTACATATACATTATATCATACAATACTTATGTATTACTTTTCTTCCTATATTAAACTTGATGACTTTAATAACGCATTACAGAAGAACAACAATTACCTTGTAGACATGAGAAATCATATGCAATACGATGCTTCCACAGCAACTGCTTTTAAGGTGTTTGTGTAATTGCACTTACTGACGTGACCTTCTGTTATCACTTTGGAATCCCAGTGTGCTTAGATGTTTACTGCCTCGTTGTGTTGCTGAGAGACTTCATTAATGGTTGTGAGAGCCCTTTTTAAGTGTTTGTGCCTTTGAATATAAAGTACTGTTATTATTACAAGTAGTTCAGAATTACTCCATATGAAGGCAATATCACAGACTCAGTTTGGGCCTGAAAAAAACTTAATATAGATCATTCTTTTTGCCAAATTTCCTACAGCCTAATGATTCCTATAATTTTTTCTTGAGAAATGTATTTGTTTAGCATTAAAGGAAACAAAAATTAAATTCTTTATTCTGCAAGAACATCTTTGAGTGACATGCAGTCACATGGCAAAGATGCTTACTGGGACAGAGCCATTCTATTGAGAAGGGCAGCAGCTCTCAGAGTATGGTCTGAGGAACCCTTTCGGGGTCTGTGAGGCCAAAATGATTTTCAAAGCAGTGTAAGATATTACTTGCCTTTTCCTCCTCTCCTAAGTATACAGTGCATCTACCAGAGGCTACGTGCTATGTGATGATGTCATCCCAGTGGCCAGTGAAATGTGTATTCGTGTGTTTTAAAATCATTTCATTCTCATTTCTAACATGGTATATATGAATAGATTTAGCCCACATAAACAAAAGCTCTTTAGGGCTTCAATCTTAAGAGTGTGAGGGGGGCAGCCCCCTGGGGTCCCCTCCCACTGTGGGAACTTTTCTGTCCTCTGAATACATTCTGCTTTCTAAAAAAAAGAGTGTGAGGGAATCCTGAGACCAAGAAGCTTGAGACCCACTGGACAGAGTTATTAACCTTGGTCACTTATGAATCTTAGTAACTGGTGACTTTTCTTTTATTCAAATTATTATATCTCTTATGGGGAGGCTTTACCTTATATCTGTTACCCCAAAATTTTAGACATGAGTGTGGTCCTAAAATATAGGATTAATATGATTATAATTATTCAGGGTTGAGGAAACCATTAGACATTTTCAGGATAAAATAAAAACATCATGGCATGAGCCTAGCAAGGTAGCAAGCCCCAGCAATACAGTAGGAAGGGAGAATGTTGTTATTTCTTAAAGAGAATATTAAAAAACCATTTGATTTGAGGGAATGGGGAACATGAGAGGTTTTTGGTGTTCAGAGCCTACTAAGGTTATGTACATCAGAGGCAGGACTGTGAAACGTAAATCACAGCTGTTCTGAATATAGTCTATAGAAAATGTAATGTTCTGAATATAGTCTATAGAAAATTCTTACATTTTCTATAGACTATATTCAGAACAGCTGTGATTTCTTCATCATAGAGTACCATTGTCTACCATCAACTCTATACCCAAATACAATTATTTATAAATCAAGGCAGGAAGGCATTGGAGAGTGGCTTTTTCCTGTCATATGCATGTTTTGGGAGGTCCCCATCAGTTTGGGGCTCTCCTATATTCACACCTTGTATGGTGTGAATAAGTGGCCCTGTCTCACTTAGAAACCTGTGGTGGAGTCAGGTTGAAGAACAGGTGAACAGGGTCATGCCTTCACCAGGAAAACTTGCATTTGATTTTCAGCAGAAGGAAAGACTGCGTCCACAGGTTGGGTCTACTTTGATTGCAAGTAAACACGTTGGATGTTGACCTAGGTCTGTATTTGGAGAATGATGTAATTTTTTAGAGGAAAATAAATATGAGTTTCATTTTTATCATCTCTAGGTAGCATATAAAGGCAAGAGATAAGTATGAGGATCCATAGAGACTCCTCATTTTCATACGGTTAAGATAAAGAATAGAACACTCTGTTTTGAAAGCAAGGACACAGGAGACCATTCAACATTTTAAACTGTTATTGTGCAAATATTAGTAATTATTTTACAAATTGTTTTCTTTTGTTTTGTTTTAGGTGAGAAACCTTTTGAATGTAACATTTGTGGGAAACATTTCTCTCAGGTGGGAATACTCTTCTTTATTGTTAATAATTGGAAACCTGAAACTCAATGTTTTTTATTTTTGTTGCAAGTAAAACTTACTTCTCTACTTGTGAGAGAAGACTCTGATGATATCTGTAACTTCAGACTAAATCAGGAGAAAAATGTTTTTCAAGAAAACAAGTTTCCAGTTCATTGAGGGGTAAAAGCATTTTTATGTGTAAATTCTTACAGTTTACTTTTTTTTCTCACTAAGGGTGGGTCCGATACTACTCATGTGTCTTCTGAATGAAGTTCACAGAAAAACACATTGAGCATGGTGTACTTGGGGCTGCGGGTTGTGTTGGGCTAGATCCAGGGCAAGTAGTCTTATTCTTATTGAGACTGTAGATTTCAGGTATCAGCAAAAAGATCAAACAAGTTTTATTCCTTGTTTTTGCTGCTGCCTGTTAGCTGACCTCCTTTAAGGTCATTGGGACATGTATTCATTCTCTCTTTCTTTTTCTTCTTTTTTTTTTGAGTTGAGTCTCACCCTGTTGCCCACACTGGAGTGCAGTGGCCACTCCCGGCCACCGCAACCTCGACCTTCTAGGCTCCGGCGATCCTTCCGCCTCAGCCTTCCAAGTAGCTGGAACTACAGGCATGCGCTACCATGCCCAGCTAATTTTTTTATTTATTGGTAGAGATGAGGTCTCACCAAGTTGCCCAGGCGGGTCTCGAACCCGCGGGCTCAGGCAATCCACTCACCTCAGCCTCCCAAAGGCACGGGATTACAAGCTGAGCCACCGAGCCCGGCTCATTCTCTCTTTCAGCAAACTATTGTACCCTGCCGCAGGCCACATACTGTGCTGAAACCTAGAGACCTCATGCGTTGCAGAAAATGTTGATTGTAATCGAATGGCTCATGGGAACTTCCTCAGCTCTCTGAAATAAAAGGTTCATTGCCATGTGCAGGGCCTGGGCTTCCAGAGGCAAATAAGATGGCAGCTGCTCCAGGGCATGAGGGCACAGCTCTGCAGAGCACAGTCACGGCACACAGTGTGGTCGGTCCTGTAGTGTCAGTGCGCGGAAGTGCCGGAATGACCTTGGGCTGGGCCTCCATCCGGGACAGGAAGGCAGGCCCTGTGGAGCGCGGATGCCAAGCACAACAAGCACCTCCCTTTCGCACTTCGCCTCAGAGCCTTCTAGTTCCCTGCATCTGTGTAGGGTGTCAGTTCCATTTTCCCTTGCATCCAAACCTGCCATCTTAATTGCTCTTCACTCACCTCCTCTTTGAGTCCCTGCCTGCCGTGATTAGCGAAGTCCTAACATTCCTCCTGCACATCACCAGTTATGTCCTTTCTGGACAATTAGTGTCTCTGGGTCAGGGCCCATGGCTAGTTTTCCGCCCAGGAAAATGCCTAGCAACCAGTCAGCGTTCCATAGGCATTTGATGAGCTGAGCTGGTTACCATCCCTCCAGGCACCGTTCTTGTTGGGGCCTGCTTCCTCCTGCCAGCCTGGCCTGGGGGATTAGAGCTTAACCTCTGGAGCTGGTCAGTCTGGTTTTGAACCCCACCTCTCTGAGTGCTTGCTGCTTTGCGACCTTGGCAAGCTACCTCGCCTTTTGGCCCTTCCGTTTTCTTATCTGTAAAACAAGGACAGTGAGACCCCAACAGAGTGCAAGGAGTAAGTTAGTAAGACAAAGTACTTAGAACAGTGGTTCGCACATAGTTAATACTCAGGATGCATCACCGCTCCTGTTGCCAGCACCTTTCTCCTGTCTTCCGTCCTCATTGGAATGCAGTCTTCCTGAGGTCCCTCCCTGCCCCACATGGTCGTCCCAGCAGTTTGGGTATAGCAGGAAAAGCACAAGACCTGGGTTAATGGCCATTGATGATTAGCCAGTCACACCTTCTCTGGGCCTCATTTTCTAATTCTTAAAATAGGAATGTACTGCTTCATGGAATTCTTGGGAAGACTAGGTGAAAAATGGACATGAATGCCCTTTATACATTTAAATTGTGATAACAATATATGTTGTCATTCTCATGCTCGGATCCTTCCATAACAACGAAGCATGCTGCAGTCTGCCTTCACCCTTCTCTGTGGCACAGATACCTGGTGCCCACCCTCAAGTTCTGATTCTCTTTCTTTTTTTTTTTTTTTTTTTTTTTGAGTTGGAGTCTCACTCTGTCGCCCAGACTGAGCCTCGACCTGCCAGTCCCTGGTGATCCTTCTGCCTCAGCCTTCCGATTAGCCAGAATTACAGGCACGCGCTACCACACCCGGCTAATTTTTTGATTTGTAGAGATGAGGTCTCGTCTGCCCAGGTGGGTCTCGAACCCGCGGGCTCAGGCAATCCACTCACCTCAGCCTCCCAAAGGCACGGGATTACAGGCTGAGCCACCAATTCTCTGGTTTGGAGCAGAACTCTCATATTGGTATTTTTTAACATTCAGCAATTTTGGTACACAACCAAGGTTGAGAACCACTGCTTTAGACCTTGACCTGCACTTACCCTCTTAAATCCCAAGGGCAACCCTATCTAGTATGGAAATCCTTCTCTTCCGTGTCGGTGTCTGTATTTTTGTTAGGTTTTTGTAGCTGTAGAGTTGTATGTAGTTAGGGTTTTCAGATGTATATTGCTGTTTTATTTTCATAGTGAAGTGGTGAATTTTGGTGAACAAGGAAGTGTTTTAAAAACTTCCACAAGTGTTTGTTACAAGATACAGTGTCCAAGTGCTATCCTTGAGCTCTGCCATGTGCCAGGAGGGGGAAAAAATGAACATGGCCTGGAAGAGCTTATTGTTTAGAGGAAGAAATAGATGTGGAGATGATTGAGTACTGTGAAACTTCTGAAATGTGCTGAAGATATGTACGGGAACAGTATGGGCAAGGAGTGGTCCTTTTTGCTTGGAAGGTGTGTTTAGGGTGGCATGATGGCATGAGATGCTTGAGAGATTGCTTAGGTGAGCCCTGCAGACAAGCAGGCACTGGGTAGACAAGTCTCTGACCTTTTTGAAGGCAAGAGAGCAGGCAGGCTGTTTGCATAGGGATGCCCAGTATAGGACACCGGCTAGCCCATCCTATACCATAAGACAAACATTCCTTTCTTGTAATGAACTAGAGTAAATATTTGTGGTTACAATGCATTGGAGTGCATCTGCATGAAAACATTCACGAATAAGAATTAATCTCCTCTAGTTCCAGCTACTTGGAAGGCTGAGGTGGAAGGATCGCTGGAGCCCAGCAGGTCGAGGCTGCGGTGGCCGGGAGCGGCCACTGCATTCCAGTCTGGATGACAGAGTGAGACTCCAAATAAAAAATAATAAAAAAAAAGAATTAATCTCTTAGCCAGGCATGGTGGCTGACGCCTATAATCCCAGCACTTTGAGAGGCCGAGATGAGAGGATTGCCTAAGCCCGTGAGTTCGAAACCAGCCTCGCCTGGGCAACTTGGCAAGACCTCATCTCTACAATAAAAAAAATAAAAAAAAAAGAATCTCTCGCACTGGTTTCTAAAAATTTAATATTTAGTAGAGTTAGTCTTTCTTTAATAAGTAAACCACAGCCTTCATAATGTGTTAGCAAAAGTTTGATTCAGCCGGGCTCGGTGGCTCAGCCTGTAATCCCGCGCCTTTGGGAGGCTGAGGTGAGTGGATTGCCTGAGCCCGCGGGTTCGAGACCCGCTTGGGCAGCGAGACCTCATCTCTACAATAAATCAAAAAATCAGCCGGGCGTGGTAGCGCACGCCTGTAATTTCGGCTACTGGGAAGGCTGAGGCGGAAGGATCGCCGGAGCCCAGCAGGTCGAGGCTGCGGTGGCCGGGAGCGGCCACTGCACTCCAGTCTGGGCGACAGAGTGAGACTCCAACTCAAAAAAAAAAAAAAAAAAGTTTGATTCAGCAGCATAAGAAAGTCAGCATCAGCTGAGCTCAGTGGCTAAGCCTGTAATCCTGCGCTTTGGGAGGCCGAGGTGAGTGAATTGCCTGAGCCCATGGGTTTGAGACCTGCCTGGGCAACTTGGCGAGACATCATCTCTACAATAAATCAAAAAATCAGCCGGGCGTGGTAGTGCATGCCTGTAATTCCGGCTACTCGGAAGGCTGAGACGGAAGGATCGCCGGAGCCCAGCAGGTCAAGGCTGCAGTGGCCGGGAGCGGCCACTGCACTCCAGTCTGGGCGACAGAGTGAGACTCCAACTCAAAAAGAAAGTCAGCATCATCTTAGGTTATGACAACGAGTCTACATCTATTAGCATGACTCTAGACACTGTGTATGTCCAGATCTTGAGAAGTAAGAGCCATACCGTGCATTGGAGCTTGACGGAGTCTCATTTGAGGGCTGCTCTCCCTGTGTGGTTGAGGGACATGGACTGTTTGGAGGGCCTCTGGAGATCAACCAAGATAGTGACAGCCCTGGAGCACCTGTCACAGGAGAAAGAGGAAAGAAAGCATGACAGAGGCAGCTGTCTTTTGGGAGAGTCGGTTTTGTCCAAACTCTGAAGAGGCAGAAATAGAAGCATCGGATGGCCAGGGAGGGAGACTGGCTTCGAGAGGCCATATTCTCTCACAGTGTTTCTAGCCCAGTGGCTGCCCGCCTCATGGGGTGCTGGTCCCTTCTGTGGGAGCGCTCTCTAGAAGGCGGCTCCTGTGCAGTGTTCTGGGGAGCTGGTGTGGACTCTTGCTGAAGGTGACCGTGTCACCCATCCATGGTGTAAATGCAGAAACAAGGGCCCTTGAGTGTGTTTTCCCCAAGCTATTAAGTTTTCAGCTCTGAGGTAATATTTCCCACACTTTTGGTGTTGTGTCATCTTGTCAATGTAATGATTGATTATGGACTAGGTAATAACTTTGTTAACCCTTAGATTTCTTTCTTTTTAACTTTACTACTTCATGAGTTTCTGCAGTCTAAAACTTCTGAGCTATGGCTTTTATGATCTAGATCTGAGCTAGATGGCTTTATCCATAGTAAACTTTTAATAAATGATAACTATTATCATTACCATTTGCTAGAGTTTTTATGGATGCAAATATAGATATTTCTAAGACGGAGTCTGTGCAGTTGGGATATCATTAGTACTAGAGTATATCAAAAGTTTACCAAAAGTACACTCACTGAAGCTCAAATGATCTGGCCCTGAGTTTGCTATGTAATCTGGTATACATTATCTGAATATACTATTGTACTTTTTGCTTGATTAATTCCATTAATTTTATTTAATCTACTTTTATTTATCAGGCTAATAATATATGCTCCTTTATCTAGGAGAAAGTTTATTTTCATGATATATTTCCAGTATGAAATAGGTAAAGAAACATTCCCATTTTTTACTGTCACTTATAATATTAAATGGAAGATTATTTGATTATATTTGCTGTGAATACAAATAGTTTTATGACTTTTTTTTTTTTTTTTTTTTGGG